ACCAGTATTCATACAATGTGACGATGTGACTCTTCCAATATTCATACATGATGTGACTCTTCCAATGTTCATACATGATAAACAGACTTCCCAGTCATCATTGGCCCCCACTACCCATTCTCCAAGGCCTCTGGCTTTGGATATCATTAGCATTTCAAAGGACTAGAAACTGTAGGTAAGACAATTTCAAAGCTTGGCTTGGAAGAGTATATAGAGATGAGAAGCATTGTTTGGGCACTACAAAATGTTTTTTTTTGGACTAGCCATCCTGGTTGCTTATTATGTCAAAAAATGTTTCCCCCCCATCCTTACCAATGGAATGCCAATGTCATAGGTCCTATATTTACCTCTAAAACTGTGGGTCTGCCAATATTTTCCAGAGAAGTGGAAGGCAGCAGTCCCACCCATTTCTATTCTCTAAGGGAAGGTGGGATTGTCATCGAGAATGCATTGATATGGATGCAGAAACATTTTTAGAAACGCAAATATAAAATTATTTTTTTAAAAAATGTAATATGTTATGGCAAAACAAAACAAAAACCCTACTAATTGTAAAATAATGATAATGATTTTTTAAAAAAACCTTAAAAGCAATGGCAAAATTCCAAGCTCTGCTTGTGTTCAATTTCCAGTGTTGTTGTCGTTTGGCATGACACAGTTGAAATGTGCAGCCACCACTTTTGGGATGGCTGTGATGGTAAAAGAACAACCAACATGCCTTCATATTTTTGAAGAAAACGGATTGAAGATTGATGTACAGCCAGGTAGCAATAGAGGCAGGTATGGTACATGCAGTGCCATGGAAAAGCTTTTCCCCTTGCACATCTAATGGCAAATTGTCAAGATGGTTTTAGAAACAGTAGCTGAAGAGCCTCCTTAACACCCCCACAATCCCTGCAAAGCTGTGAGACGGATTGACATCTCACTTCCTGAGGGGGAGCTTTCTCAGTGCAGGGAAGGTGAACAGCAGGAGAGGGTCTGCTGGAGAACCCAGTGACTTTATTTTTTTCAGTGGGACAGAAAAGAAATGCTGTTTCTCTTCGGACAAAACATGTCTTGTGATGTTGATTACATTCTGAATATAATACAAAATCATTGGCACTGGGAGTATTTGTTAAGGATATTTTACAAAAACTGCCTCATCATAGGTCGGGGAATAGGTTAACGAACCCAAAGAAGGGAGAGCAGGAATCTTGAAAGTGCCCATCAAGAGTAGGTACCTGGACAGCAGATGGGCTGTCAGTTCATGCCCACTGTGCTAAGTATTTCTGTTTCAAGTGGAGCAGTTAAGTCTACATTTGTATTTCTGTACATAAATTAGCGTGTTCAAAGTTTGTAGAAATCCATGTCACCGCCAGAAACTGAGGTGAACCAGAACTAGCCTGGCAATGGTCCTAGGAGGTCTGCCTCTTGCTTTGGACTCCAGATCCATCTGTAACATGGCCCATCTCTGACACACTTCTGATCTTCTGTCCAAGATTCAATGTCTGCTAAATTAGGCTAACATATTATAGTAATCAGCAAAGCGTAAGATTACAAAGTGTAAAGCAGATTCCCCAATAGGAAAACAGTTGACCCCTTGCCAGTAACACTTCGTGAAATGCCTGAAGTGGGTCATTAGGAAAGCTTAGATGGAAAGGTGATCAACCTAGCTGTTTTTATTACCCTACTGGATAATACAAAGAAATCCATTACCTTTGGCACAAACCAAAAAATGGTGATATATGTGAAATAGAAATGATAGTACCAGCTTATTTTGGTTTTTGATTTTATAACTGAAATACTGTTTTCTGGAGGTGCAGAATATTTTCTTAGATTTTTTTTTGTTTGTCCAGCAAATAGTGCTGCTTTGAAAAGCAACTGTATTTATTCAATAACATTTCCTCTACCTTTTCAATATGCTCTGTTTATAGGTAGCACATAGTAGTCTCCTGGGAACAAGATGCTTAAGAAATAATCTCTTTTTCTAGAAGCTGCTGAAACAGTGAGGTCAACATTTGATGCCCTGGTCTTCTCGACGGTAAGGAGTGGGCCTTTTCGAAAAAAAGTTTTGAGTGGAACTTCTTCAGCATGTTTGTACAAAAAAATTAAAGCGGCAAAAAGAAATGCACAGACAATGGGCTGGATAAATTTTAAATACCTTCAGAACACTTTGAGGAAGTCCATAGTAGCAGATGCTTCCATTCATTTTTCAAAGGAAATCCCCATGCTTTTAAAAAAATGTGTTTTTTTCCTAGGTGATGTTATTATCAGAAAGTAGTGGCACTGATATTCTTATCTGGGGCCATCTTGCCCTAGAATGTTGTGAAGAAGGATGCTATATCACATTACAAGATCATATTCTTAGTATTGTGGAGGATGCTTGAAGGATATGTTGTTAGGGTGCAATCAGATGGCAAGAAAGAATTGCCTCTGATCACACTGAAAGGGGTTGCTTTGCTGGGAGCGACCTCTCTCTTAAAGGGATCCTTCTGTCTATTGGGGAATCACTTCAACTTGCCCCCCCCCAAGAATTGCTGTGCCACAGGACCAAAAGGATCCAGGCTGGATATGGGTCAAAGTCAGGATGAATTGCTATTGCCTGTATGTCGTAGGATCAAGGGGAAATTGCTTGCCGGACAGCATCACAAGTGGCCAAAATATGAGCTATTTGCCCATGAGATGACACCATTAGAGCCCTTCCCCAGATGCACTGTGGGGCAAAATGCTTTGGAACGAAAGGGAATTGATGCTTCAGTTTTTCTAAAGAAATAAATATGTTTGCAACATAATAAATAAATGAATAAATCTGTTTATAGAGAAATAAATCTCTTTACAAGAGGAAAAGGCTGTAAGCCGCCTAGAGTGGTCTATCAACTAGATAGGCGGGATATTAAACAAACAAACAAACAAACAAACAAACAAACAAACAAATAAATAAATAAATAAATAAATAAATGAAATTTACAATATAATTAAATAAGAATATTTCTAAAAAAAGAAGAAAATGGGCAAAAAAGTATTACTGCTACCATGGAATGCTGAAAATTCAGTTCTGTGAACCCTGGAGTCTCTGAATTTCTCCAGTTCGCCACTGGAGATTGTGCAGAAAGTGCCACCCCACTTTCTGAGCCTAAGCATGGATCACACTTGGGAGAGGAAACAAGTGCTTTTTGTCAAGGAGTCCTAAGGCTGTGGAGCCCACCCCCCTACAGAGACACAGGTGTTTCTCTCTCTCTTTGCTTGTCTTTTAGTGCAGATGTTTTTATTGGAAAGGATGTGTGCTGTGTTCCTGACAGTCAAGAGGATGTAGCGATGTCGAGCAGGATGGCATCTCTGACCGTGACCCAGTTCCAAACAATAAATGGGAAGAAACTTTGTGCAAAGAAATGAGAAATGACATTGCAAAGATGGGAAGGAGTTTAGCCCAGCTTTAGTTTCATTCTGGATAGGAAGCCATGTATTTTCTGCCAAGCCCAGTGGTGTGCCACAAAATGACTTATAATGAGTGCAGCCAGCAAATATGAGCTTCTGGATGGTCAAAATAAGGAGACCAAAATTTGCCCATCAAAAGCAATGCTTTGTTTTCTGAAATAATACCAGAATTGTTTTTAACATAGCCTTTAAACATGAAATAGAAAGTGGACAATTTAATTAAGCTGAATTCAGAGCAGTAGGTTATTTCATGACCAGCTGCCTGTTTTTAAATCCAGGACAATAAAGGATATTTCAGATGCACACAGTGCCTATACAGTGCAATTCTGTACAGATATTCTCATAAGGACACTTTATTGGGTTGAGTGCAACTTATCCCTGGGTAAGTGGGCATAAGAGTTGCAACCTCTAGTGTTGCTTTATTTAATAGTTGCATTTGTATCTTGGCTTTCTTCCAGTGAACTCAAGGCATCCTCCGTGACCCTCTGCTGCCTACTTTATTCTTACAGCAATCCTGTTTGGTAAGTCTAAGGAAGTGTGACTGGCTCAAAGTCACCCACAGAGTTTCATGGCTCAGTGGGGATGGAAATTAGGACCTCCCAAGTCCTAGTTCGACTACATTAGCCATTACATTTCACTGCTTCCAGGATCTTTACAATGCAGCCTGTAAGATCAGTATTGCTCTTGTCTCCATACTGCAGGGGAGATGATGGTAGGTGAAAAACTAGGGTGCCTTGCCTGCATCTTTGGCTGCACTGAAGTTTAAAGTGAATTTTAATTTCACACTATAACATGTGGGTCTTGGCTTAGCCATCACTGTGGCACTGTTTCCTTAATGCTCCTTGATGTTGCGACTACAGGGTTATAGACACACTTTCACTGAAATGAGCACTCACACAGTTGCTTTAAAGCTAAGCAATAGGATGTAGCAAAACATTTTTCCTCCTGCTGCTCCTTGTGTATATATTCATGTTTGCCCATATGATTTGCAACACAGAATCTGACAATATAATGCTGGGAAGGGGTGGGTGGAAAAGTCATTAAATAAAAGTTGCTATTTTAAAAGCACATTTCTTTCACATGGATGGAAGTCTTTCTGTTTCTACTTTTCCTAACATTGCTCCAGTACCACCTCTATCTCAACCAGGTTCCCTCATTTCTAAATAAATCAAACTTCTTAAGTGATATAAAACACTTAATAGAAACTAAGACGCCTTAGGGCAGGTTTTGGGGCCAACTAGCTACTTAGAAGGTGCTTAAAACATCAGCCCCTCTCAATCCCATTGCCCTTGTCATATAAAGTTAGCTGATGCCCTAATCCTTCCCTCCTCCCTCTTCCCTCTCCTCCAGAAGAGGAAGGCAGAGGATATAAAAAACCCCTTCAGATCGTGCCACTGCCAGCCCCAGATCATAGATGAGGGCAGATGCACCAGCTCTGCATTCCCTTAGGGGATTTGCTCTCTTTTTTACAATTTTTAGAAAAATAACTAAGGTTGGGCAAGGGGGTGGAGAAACCCAAAGTTAAATTGGCTTAGAAAGAACACGAAGGAAAACTGTAGTATAGTAATTGATTAAATAAGCAAACCATGAATGGAACAGAAGGCATCAATTTCTATGTACCATTATCCAATAGAACAGGGGTGGTGCGGAGCCCCTTTGAATATCCCCAGTATTACCTAGCTGAGCCCTGGAAGTATAAACTCATATGCTGCTACATCTTTTTCCTCATCTTCACCGGGCTGCCCATCAACATCCTCACCCTACTTGTGACCTTCAAACATAAGAAATTACGGCAGCCACTCAACTATATTTTGGTTAATCTTGCAGTAGCGGATCTCTTTATGGCCTGCTTTGGCTTCACCGTCACCTTCTACACAGCCTGGAATGGCTACTTCATATTTGGTCCTGTTGGCTGTGCCATTGAGGGCTTCTTTGCAACATTGGGAGGTAAGATCCATGAAGGAAGTAGTGAGCTCCTAGGAAGGAAGCTGTTGTCCATGTGTGGTCTAGCGGTAGAGAGCCGGCATTCTCTGTTTTGGTTTATCTGATCCTTGTGCCTTAGATTCTCTTGATGTTACTCATCTATTGCCATTAGAGCTGAAGCTGTTTCATATTTGTGGCTATACAGTAACATTTTGAAGTCTTTCTTGAAGCTGAATTTTGTATATTAAATATGCCAAGTGAAATTTCTAAAGGTACACCACCCCAATTCTGAATCATAAGTAAATTCATTTATATAATGATTACAGGAATGGGCAAACTGTGCCTCTCCAAAGGTTATTGGCCTGCAATGTGTATCATCCTTTACTACTAACTATAAAGTTAATGTAATTGGTAGGCCAGCAACATTTGGAGGATTGCAAGTTGACTACCTTGATTGATGGTATTTAAATTCCACTTTTGCCTGTCTTGCAACAAATCTGTAATACCTGGACATGGAAGGTTGTCCCGTGAACTCCTATGGCTGCCTTAACAGTTCTTGTTGATATTCTAACCACGGTTAAAATAGTAACCTCTTATCGTCCATTCAGACTTAATTTGAATATAGGACAAAGCAAAAGGCATAAAGGTTTACTCATGTATAGGCTTACTGTATTTCAAATACTAGAGCTCAATGCATGACTCGGTGAGATAGAATACCTGGCTGCAGAGCCAGTGATTGGGAGCTTGATTCCCCACTATACCTTACAGGAAAAGGGCCAGCCTGTGTTGCCTAAACTGCCGTCCCGGAGCTTCCCAAATGGAAGGGAATGGAAAACTACTTCTGAATAGTCTATATTTAGAAAATCAAAGAAATGATTGCCTTAAATTGAAATTTATTCAACAGCGTGTAATTATTGTTATTATTTACTATAGCTAAATTTTAAAAAATGCTTCTGTTTCAATTGAATCTATAGAGGAAAAAGTAGCATTCTTACTCAGCTCTACCATTCTAAGATGATGATGATACTTTGAAGTTCATAAGTTTGGGTTTGTTTCTCAAGCATGATAGGATTCCTGCATAGAAAGCATTTTACATAGCAAAATTCCCACACAGAAAGCACTAGACACTCACAAACACACACAAGTTCCCATGTCTTCATGATAATTTCTAGTTCCAAGAGCATAAAACTAAACTGTGCCTCCCAGACCTTGTCCTCTGGGAAGTCTAATAAGTGAATGTTTAAGAAATGTTTTTCCCAGACATTGTCACAAATCCAATTTCTGTATTCAGCCTCTTGCACACCATTGTCATCTCACTGCTGGGAGAGAAGTAAAACTAACCTGTGATGAATCTTTGCTTCCCATTCTGCATGCTTCATACCTTTCTTTTTCCAGTACAAACAAAATCCTGCTTGGTTGCACTAAATGAAGTCCACCATTGGTACAGTACGATTGATATCACACCAGGGTTCATCCAAGCCCAGGTCTGAATATTATTAGCAGGCTTAATTATTGGAAGAATAGAGAAATATGCATGTTCATAGTATGAATCTTCTCTCTGTGTGTATATGCCTCTGTTTGTGTTTATATGAGTGTTTACATGTATCGAAAAATATAATAAAAGCTTGCATTTTGTTTTACTTCGTGGATACCACTAAAGAGCTGCAATTCTTGATGTTTGAAGATGCAGGCAGATCATGGGGAACTATTCAGCTAAAGGCAAATTCACTACTGATAAATTAAAAACCTGTGCCTAATTTGATTATGAACTGACCCTGTGCCTAATTTGATTTTGTTCTGACAAGGATCTCATGTAGTACTGTATATGTTTCTTCACATTTTGCCTAATGCTGAAATAGATGAAAATGTCACTTCTTATTCCACTGGACACATCTTCAAAAGGGGGTTCTAAAAGGACACAGCTGGTGCAGTGTTGTCCTTCCTTCACCATGCTGAAAAAAGCTCCAGAAACATCTGCATGGTGCTTCTTATTGGGATAGGGGACACGCATGTAGAAATTGTTCTTAAAATGCACATTTTCTTTAGGGTCTGTCCTCTATTACAGTAGATTATACCTTTTCACTGTGATCCTTAGAGGGCAATATATGCCTTTCCCCTTGCTTTCAGTTGCACATTGATGCCTGGAACTGGGAACACAGAAAACTGCTGTGCAATGTATCTCCTGAACATGGCATAGCATATGTTATTGCTTTGGAATATTAAGTATAATGCATTCATTCACTGTTCTCTCTACACTGTGTTATGTGCCATCAAATTGTGTCCAGCCTATGGTGACCTTAATAGGTTTTGCAAGGTATGTGAGATATTTTAAGTATGGTTATACTAGTGCCACATCCCAGTCCTAATCTGTCACTCTGTTCACCATATCATACTTCGTCATTTATTAATTTTAGCTGGAAGGAGTTTGAACTATGGAAAGCATCCTCTGTGGAAAGCTGTTATTCTTTTGCCCCATAGGGAATACTTTTGAAAGTGGTAGTTGGAAAAACTGCTGCAGGAGAAGGGGGTGGGCAAAAGCCTATCCCTTGGGTCAATAATACCCCTCTGTTCCACCTCCCCCTCAAATAAGGTCCTTACATCCCCAGATCAATTTTCTAGGATACGGTCCTTCAAGAAGAGAGATGAGGGTGGAGGTTTTTTTCCAAACTGGATTTTAGTCCAAGACAGAGAAGTACACAACACTTTCTAATGCTTACCAATCCTTTGGGATGAACTTTACCTTGTCTGTGAAGCTCATTTCTCAGTGTGAGCACAGCGGACTTTGATGGCATCATTAGCTGTGTCTTGAGAATGAGGAATTAGGTTAGCTTCAGTTCTGGAAAATAACATAAAAGGGAAGGAAGGAAGGAAGGAAGGAAGGAAGGAAGGAAGGAAGGAAGGAAGGAAGGAAGGAAGGAAGGAGGGAGGGAAGGAAGGAAGAAGAGAGAGATATGCGAAGGAAGTTATCTTTTTAAGAAGACCAGGCCCATTTGGAGTCACTTCTCAAATAGATCTGAAGAGGACGAAAGTCACATGTTCTTTACCTCAGCTTGAAAAAATTCATTTCCTTGTGGAAAGGGTTCTATATTATTCCTTTTCCCACTAAGCAGACCAGGGACACTGCAACCCGTGCTAATTGCATTCCCCCCTGCTCACTTGGCTGCCAGAGATTATTGCAAGCTTGGAGTAGGCTCTACAGATAGCATAGCTGGTTTTCTTTTCCAGTAATGCAGTATTCCAAAGCAAAAGAAATGAGCTACCTTTATGGAGATCCAATCTAGGGTCTGAAGCAGCTTCTGAGGCCATGGTCAAACCAGGGAAATGTTCACTACTTTTAGTGATACTTTCCATACCTTTGTTGTAATGCTTTGCGGTCACGTGATATATATACCTAGATAAGTGTCCCAGTGTGTTTTAATATTACCAGTTTATTTCCTTCTATTTGAATCAATATGGCCAGCTATATCACGGTACCAATTTAGTTTCTCTCTTGCTTTATGGGGCATTGAAACCTCTTCATTTTAATTGCTTATTTTAAAAAACAACAACAATACATCAATAGATCAATGTTTCCTGATGGATAAAATGGCCCCTGTTGCTTCCATAGGTGTCTCTGGAAGGAATGCATTGCACCTAATGGGCTCAGGACCCCCAACCAATACTGTGCTGCTTGCCAGACAATAGGTGAAGTACTTGTGCTTTAAACTCGTCAACAGAAGTTTACCAACACATCAATAGTCTGGTTGTAGAAAATTTAAAAAAGGCTATAGAAAGGTAGCCATGCAGCAGCAGCAGTGGCCGCCTTCCACGGTGATTCTACAGTGAAAAACTATTGATAGAATCATACACACATGCCATACCTCAAAGGAATATATCAAAACACCATCAGAACAAAAAAACAGAAGCCTTCCGGCAAGTGGAAAATGAACCGCAGTTACACCACTGGCCAGTAAAATTATTTGGTAATGACCGGGTGTTGTATGACCAGAAATGTATGCGCTGATGTAACTGGAAGATAACTGGGGAACATTTCCCTTATGTGACCACAGCCTGAGTGTCTTAAGATGCAGAAATGTAATTAGGATGAATGGAAAGTCCTCCTCTCTTTCCTCCACCAAATGAAACTCAATTTCCCAAGTAGGATCACTGTCTGTTATCTTTATTTATTCATTGTATGTGTAGCCCAAATCTTTAGCTGGCTGTAGCTTCGGTCAGTCAAATATGAATAGTAGTAGGACAGGTTCACTATTAATCAGAAAGGTATGTTGTGTGTGCAGAACTTTGAGGTGCAAAGGGACAAAATGCCAAAGCAGCAAAGAGAAACAAGGATTAAAGTTATGCATATAGAAGATCTGGAGAAGGTCTTGGTTTGGCTTTTCATGCATTTCAAGCTGAAAAGCATCAAAGTTGCCAAGGGTGTGTGGTAATGATGCTTCATTGTTTCCCAGTACATATCTAGCCTCATGTAACCTACTCTTGCTTTAAGTTAAAAGTTATTTATAAATGAAGAGACATGAACATTCTCTCCATCAATAGGATTTTCCAAATAGTGACTGAAATGTCCTAACAGAATGAAATGACAAATATAAAATAGACAAGCATAGACCAGAAACAGAAAACAAGGAATGTTCATAATGAAACATAAAATCATGTAGCATGACTTCAAAGTAGAAAAAGAGCTGTGATTCATTAAATTCTGATTCGAATCTGTTTAACCGCATCAGTACAATATTGTTGCTGAAATATCATGTTATATATCAGATAAGGCAATGAAAAGGCGGACTAGATTGTGACAGCTGTTTTTTTCAACATAAAACTCTCTGTACTTACTTATCAATGGATAAGCACGTGTTGAGTGCATTAATAGGCTTATGGTCCAACCTAGGCTCACATAATCCTCTGAGTTTTGATTACTTCTGTTAAAGAGATTAATAATCCCAAGATGCTCATGTACACAAGGACAATAATACTTGCAACACTGCTGGCACTGTATCAGGGTCATGCCTGGCTACCAGCAGCTATTATAGTACCAGGCCCGATCCCTGTACACTCTCATCTTGATTAATGCAGATGCATACCAGATCTTAACAAAGGTAAATCACAAGTTGTCTTGTGTTAGCACCAGTGTACCATATGTATACTACTTGAAAATGTCACCAATTTGGCAAGTTCTCATAAAGCAGCTTTTTTCCAACTCTGTGTGCCAGATCCCATCATCCCTGTTGGTTAAGAATCATGGGTATTCCAATTCAACAACATCTAGAAGTTATTCCACGGCCTCATGTGTCTAATATTTTATATTGCTTTGTTTCTGTTTTCCCTAACCCACCCTTACCACTTGCAGGTCAAGTTGCCCTCTGGTCCCTGGTTGTCCTTGCCATCGAGCGGTATATAGTGGTCTGTAAACCTATGGGCAACTTCCGCTTCTCTTCCACCCATGCCATGTTAGGCATTGCTTTCACGTGGATTATGTCTATATCCTGTGCAGCTCCACCTCTCTTTGGGTGGTCCAGGTAAGAAAATGGTGTTCAGTTTATAAGTATTAGCTTAATCTGTTCTGTTCTCTTGAAATCCAGCCAATCAGGGACTGGCTACCAGCATAATAATTATGGGGGGAGCTACAGACCAGGTTGGCTTCCATGGTGTTAATTTCAGTTCTTCAACTAGGCTGCCACTTGGTATATAACATTAGATTAGAATGCAGAGCTGAACTTAATTCTGGGATAGTTGTATAGACTACAGTATGTGCATTGGCCATATACATATTCAAAAAGTACTGTAATGAGTCTGTGGAATGTCTCATGTACCTGTGGTATTTTGCACATATTAATTACATAGATGAGGTCCCCTACCATACGCACGGTTTGTCTTGGAATCTGTTGACACAATTGTTTCATGAACTGATGATTCCAGCATCTCCATGTGGTCTTGTTCTGGAAGTAGAACATAGGCATCTCAGATTTCAGTCCGAGATATCATTTTCAGTATAAGCAGGAACAGTGCAGTCCTATACATGTATACAGAAAGGTCTTACTAAATTCAATGGGAATTATCCTCAGATAATTAGGGACTGAAGTCTGAACTCTATATTCAGACAAGTTTATTCATGCATTAAGAACATGGTTTGAAAGTGTCTGTGCCAACTTTGGAATGTCATAAATGTTGTCATGAGTTCTTCGTTATTTATCCACAACTTTCTGGGCTAGAATCCTGTTCTCTTAGTAGTGTAAGGGCAACCATATAGGTGTTTTTCCCCTCTCAGGAGGCTCTCTGTCACTCAAGTGGGCAAACACTGACTGTGAAATTAGTTATGCAACAAAATCACATGACCAGCAGTGTGAAATGGAGTGTGCCAGGGGAGGGAAACATAGTGTGATTTCCTTTATGCATGTGTGTAAAACATGGATAAGATTTTGGCTTTGTTTCTTAGTCTGAGAAGACTAAAAAACCATTAAGCAAAGTGGAAGAGGGAGATTCATTGACGTAAGCTGTGAGTTTACTGGAAATGCTGGCTGCTGCTTGTACTGCAAATGTCTGTTGCCATGTTCCACCTGCTGTGCTCCATTTAACAGTTGCTTTCTCTGGAGAGCCCAAGACACATTTGTGAGTGCAAGTATATATGCATGAATACTCGCAGGGCATCTGTTTGAGCATGCACATGCACACACACACAGGAACAGCAGCTACAACGAACCAGCCTTCAGCCTTAGCAAGTCTGTGAGTGCTCTTTCGTTATCTTTAAACCATTCAGTAAAAGCCTGTATATTGGAATACTACGTAAAGTTCAGTGGGTTTCCACATATGGATAAATGAAGCTGGCATGTGTAACCAATTGACAATCACCATTCACCTCTGAATAACAGGGCTGGAAAGAAGTTGGGAAATAATCAGTGTTATTGGTTTTGCTTACAGTTTAACGGCAAGGCATCCCTTGTGATTTTTTTTTTTATCGTACAGCACTGACTATTCAGTACTTCTATTCCCAGCTTTTCCAAACTAAAATAATCCCTGCTGAGCCACCGTGTCTATATAGTCTGTCCAATCCAAGATCTGATCTACCAAATAGTGCTCTCATAGCATAAAGGCTGGTTCATATTCAACTTTCTTCCTTACACGTACAGTATTTAGCTGTAGTGCCAGAGGTTGGGAGTCTGATTCCTCATTGTGTGTCCTGTGAGCAGAGCCAGCCTGTGTGGCCTTGGCCAAGCAGCAGAATCCCAGGATGCCCCCAGAAGAATGGAATGCTCTCTAACTGGAAAACCCTGAAAAGGGTTGCCATAAGTATCAAATATCATGGCAGGAACATGTCTTTTCTCCCATAGTTAGGTAGCCAGCTTGCTTTGTTATGTGTTTGGTCTTCAGGACATAAACCTGTTCTTCATTTGAAAGACAGATTTCTCAAAACTGAAAGTCTGCCAGATTCATGTTTCTGGAAAATTTATGTGTTTTCAGCTCCAGTGATGGCTCCCCATAACATATGGTTATTAATATTTCCACAGTTTTTCTCTGTGGCTTTGGGGATTTGCTGCTCAAGAAATGCCATCCTCAATCTTCCTTGGCTGCATAGCTCTTTGCACTCCAGATGAGTCAGTTGTTTCCCCAATGTGAGACTGTCTGTGTTAATGCTAAGATTTAGGAATACAGTCGTGCCCCGCTGGACGATTACCCCATTTAATGACGAATCCGCTTAACGTTGAAGCTTTTGGGATTGCAAAAGCGATCACAAAACGATGTTTAGATTGGGTTTTTTCGCTTCACGTTGATCGGTTCCCTGTTTAGGGAACCGATTTTTCACTTTATGAGGATCAGCGAACAGTTTCAAAATGGCTGCCGACTTTCAAAATGCCCCCCGCTGGTTTCTAGGATGGATTCCTCGCTATATAGGCACAAAAAATGGCCGCCGTATGGAGGATCTTCACTGGATCAGCAGATATTCAACCCATTGGAACGCATTGAACTGGTTTTCAATGCGTTTCAATGAGTTTTTTATTTTGCTTGATGATGTTTTTGCTCTACAGAGATTTCGCTGGAACGAATTAATATCATCAAGCGAGGCACCACTGTATAACACTGGTAGCTATTTCTAGGAAAAAAAACTCCATTTGTAGCAACCTTTACTGCAGTCCTCCTGGCCCACAAGCATCCTTAAGTGACTTAGAGTTAGTCACATTAACGCCGACTGTATTCAGAATAACAAGCTTTGTGCATGTATATAGGTAGAAGGCAAGGCTATGTAATATCTACACGATTTATCAAGCATTAATGATATAGTGTGCAAAGTTATTAATATAAATGGTGCTCTCAACAGCACAAGTGATTGCTTTACACCAGGTTTCTGCAGCTCTGTGCCACCTGTTAGACTGATGGAGGGATAACAATATTCATTTAAAATGTAATTGCTGGCACTGGAACTGTTTTTAGTGTAACTAACAACATCTACTCATTATTCATAATTGGTTTTTTTTGGTGTTTACCTATTATGCATAAAGAATTTCTCTTCTTTGGATGTGATTCTGATAGATTGGAGGCTATTTTTTCATTGTGTATAGTTTTAAAAAGGTCACAAACCCAGAGTGTTAGTAATATTATTTTAAAGCAAACTAAAGTAATTAATTACTCACTGGCTGTTTTTTTAAAAAAGTGCTCAGCAAGCATGCTTACAAAGTCCAAGTGGGAGGAGTATGTCTCTCAATCTCCCACCACCCTTCTGTTCATTCCCAAGTTTTTTTTTTTAAAAAGGCTTGTGTTGGGGAAGGGGAAGGAAGGAAATGCAGCCAGATAGTGATTGGATACCTGGAAACCCATATATGCTCATACATGGAAACATCACGGAACACCTTCCTCACTTTCAAAGGAGATAAAAAACTCCTGGGGCTGCACAAGATGGTCATGTCCATGGTGGCCAGGTTCTCCCAATGTGTCTTTACATTTGATGTGCTTGAGTTCTATGGGCATCCATATTAAGCCTGCTTTTTAAATCATGTTTTGTAAGCTGGCTTGAATTCTGCAAGGGAGAACAAGGAGATATGAATAAGTAAGTGTGTGTGAAAGAGAATAATGATGTATTCTAATAGAACTCCTTCACACAGGTTCTGGAGTGATGCAGGATTCTGCCCTGGCATCCTGGTTGCCCTTTTATGTGAATTCACTCATCCTTAATATATCATGAAAGGGCTACATGGGTCCTGTACATAGGCTCCTCTTTTTGCCATTTTTATGTTATGCTGCTAAAGCCCAAGACTGAGAAACGTTTTGTTGTGGCTTCTTATAGCCAAACTGAGCATTAATTTAGGGTGTGGCTAGCAACCACTCTGAAGTGTTTAAAATTAAATATCACATGATGGATGCATCTGTAGGGATACGTCCTGGAGACCATGGCAGACATAAAAGGAAAATTTAGCTTTCTCCCCTCCAGCTATGATCCTGGGTAAAATCACTCCCGGACACATCAGTAATCAAAAAAAGTTGCTTTTGACACCTATGGGCAGCCCCTCTGGGACAATTGTCCCTGGCCAGATTTTCATCAGAATAATAGCTGGGAAGTGCAGCCTTCCTGCTGTGATCTGACTGAAAAGCACCCACCTTCCTTGTGCCTGACATTTAATTTTTAAAACACCCTGACGTTGTTGCTAATTATGCCATTAAAGTAGTTTCTACTTTAGCCTTTACATTTTTGAAAAGGGCATGCAGCTCAGATATAAGGTCCAAGGAACCTGATGTTTGGGCCAAAGATTCTATTTCTCTCTTCTTCACCGACTTCAGGAGCAGCAGGTGCAGGACTCTTTAAGGCAGTTGAAGGCAATCCTGTATGCTCTAGATTTTGAACTATAAATCCCATCAACCCCTGTCAGCATGGCTAATGGTTAAGGGTGAGGCGAGTTGTTGTCTGAACAAGTGAAGGTCACTGGCTTGCTTTGGAGATATCCTGAGGGACGCATGCAATCGTGGTTGCCGCCTTCATCCTGTGCACAATAGAAGCAAGTGTCTGACAAGTTCAGCCACACACTTAGCTGTGTGCAGAGAGAGAGAGAGAGAGAGAGAGAGAGAGAGAGAGAGAGAGAGAGAGTGTACAAGAAATCGTTTACTCCCCCCGGGAGATAAGAAGTGTCACAGTAAACTGATGTTACAAAACAGCAAACATGTTCAGCTCATTTGCTGCCTCCTTCCAGGTGAACCTACACATTGACTCTGTCACGTTGGCAGTAGGACACATCAAATCTTTGGGGGAGAAAATCCAGAGGTTCCTTGCTTAGATAGAACAGTATTCACTGACGATAAATAGCCTCTGCTGGGCTGTGGTCTCCAATGGACTGCTTGCAACCCAATAAAGAAATTAATTTATTATAGGACTTTCAGTTCATTAATCCAGATTTGTACATGGCAAACATTTTTGAAACAGAAAGTAGATTTTGTTGTTGTTTCAAAGTGGATAGTGTTTTAGAAAAGGGATGCCTTTGTGCCATATGCAGGTTTGTTAGCAAATATTCATGCATTTTGTATACATTCACTGCCTAATTAATTGTTGGAAACTTTTAGTCAAAAGTTAATAATTCAACAGTGTAATGGAATAAACAATGCAGACCTAATTACTACAGTTATCCCATCATCTGATTATTCTATGCTTCCCAACAACTTTAGAGAATGCAAGAGGTTAAGGAATCTGTGAAAAATTCTCTAGTGGACACTTTTGTAAACTTCATCCAATCTGCAGTTCTTGGACTATTCCTTATAGACTGATTGGCTACAGATATGTCCAAACAGGCTGCCAGGAGATGTTCCAACGATTATTGGCGTTAACTCTGCTCTCAGATACAGATAGCAGCGGACACAGGTAACATCAAAGGAATGTATGACAGTATCAAGCAGGCTTTAGGTCCAATACAGAAGAAATCTGCTCCCTTGAAGTCTGCTACAGGTGTGATCATCCCGGACCGAGCACAGCAGATGGACTGCTGGGTGCAGCACTACTCTGAGCTATATTCCAGAGAGAATGTAGTAACCGAAGAGGCATTAAATAACATCGAGTGCCTGCCTGTCGTGGAAGAGCTGGACAGCGAACCAACTTTAGGAGAAATAAAAGCGGCCTTGGATTCTCTCGCCTCTGGCAAGGCACCTGGAAAGGATAACATCCCTGCTGAAGTGCTGAAGTGCTGTAAAGAGCTCATCACCACCAAACTATATGAAGTCTTTCATCTTTGCTGGGGGGAAGGTGGAGTACCACAGGGCATGAAGGACGCAAACAGTGTCACATTGTATAAGAACACAGGCGACAGGGGAGACTGCAATAACTACCGTGGCATCTCTCTTCTCAGCGTTATAGGGAAGCTACTTGCCTGTGTTGTACTGAAGAGACTCCAGGTGCTTGCAGATAGAGTCTATCCAGAATCACAGTGTGGATTCCGAGCTAATAGATCCACTACTGACATGGTATTCTCCCTCAGACAGTTGCAGGAGAAATGTAGGGAACAACAACAGCCACTCTTTGTGGCCTTCATAGATCTCCCAAAGGCCTTTGATCTGGTTAGCAGGGATGGCCTTTTTAAAATACTTCCCAAGATTGGATGTCCACCTTGACTCTTCAACATCATCAGGTCCTTTCAAGAGGGAATGAAGGGCACCGTAGTTTTTGATGGCTCAACATCAGATCCCTTTGACATCCGAAGCGGAGTGAAACAGAGCTTTGTCCTCGCACCGCCCCTGTTTGCGATTTTTTTTTTTTTTGCTGTCATGCTGAAGCACGCCTTTGAAACTGCAACAGAAGGTGTCTATCTCCGGCGAGATCGGATGGAAAGCTCTTTAATCTCTCTAGACTGAGAGCAGAGACCAAAGTCCAACTGAAATGCATGCAGGATTCCTCTTCACCAATGATGCAGCTGTTGTTGCCCACTCTGCTGAAGACCTCATGAATCATTTTAGCAAGGCCTGCCAAGACTTTGGACTAATAATCAGCCTGAAGAAAACATAAGTCATGGGCCAGGGTGTGGACTCACCTCCCTCTATTACCATCGCCACACAAGAATTGGAGGTTGTTCATGATTTTGTGTACCTTGGCTCAATGATCTCTGACACTCTGTCCCTAGAAGTTGATTGGGCTGGATAAATGCATTGGCAAAGCAGCTACCATGTTCTCAAAACCCACAAAACCCACCACAATAAGAAGCTGATGGCATATACCAAAATCCAGGTCTATAGAGCCTGTGTTCTGAGCACATGCCTGTACTGCAGTGAGTCCTGGACCCTTTGTGCATGGCACATATGGAACACCTTCCATATTCTTTGCCTCTGACACATTTTTGGTATCACGTGGCAGGACAAAGTTCCAAATAGAGTAGTCCTAGAATGAGCTGGAATTTCTAGCATGTATACATTACTGAAACAACGACATCTACTTTGACTTGGGCATGTTGTGAGAATGGCTGATGGTCGGATTCCAAAAAGATATCTTGTATGGAGAATTAGTGCAGGGAAAGAGCCCCAGAGGGAGACCACAGCTGCGATACAAGGATATCTGCAAGTGGGATCTGAAGGCCTTAGGAATGGACCTCAACAGATGGGAAACCCTGACATCGGAACGTTCAGCCTGGAGGCAGGCGGTGCATCATGGCCTCTCCCAATTTGAAGAGACCCTTGTCCAGCAGGCCGAGGCAAAGAAGCACTCCTGGAAGCAGCAAAATCAGGGACCTGGACAAGGGACAGATTGTATTTGTCTTCAGTATGGAAGGGATTGTCACTCTCAAATTGGCCTTCTCAGCCACATTGGATGCTGTTCCAAGTAATCCATACAGAGCACATTACCATAGTCTCTCGAGACTGAAGGATGCCTAACCTAACCTAAATGTACATGTTTGAGAATTGAGAATTAAATATCCACACATTTCAAACACATGCAAACTGTCGCTTCAATGTACTCTAGTTAATGACAGGAAATGTGCTTAGGCAATGTGGACAATTTAATACGCATGGCTGTATGTAAAATAAAAATCTAATCATTTTCCTTTTTTGTTTGTCAGGTATATACCAGAAGGGATGCAATGTTCCTGTGGTCCAGACTATTATACTCTCAACCCTGACTACCACAATGAGTCCTATGTTCTCTACATGTTTCTCATCCACTTTATTATCCCTGTAGTGGTCATCTTCTTCTCCTATGGGCGGCTCATTTGCAAAGTTCGAGAGGTAGTATATCCTCTTTTATCATCAAAGTCTGGGGAGGCCGCAGAAGTCAGGTTCAAAGAAATGTTGGTTGAATGAGCTCCATTCTGTGGAATATGAAATCAGTGCTCTGCTATGGAGAGAGGGACTGTGAAGGTGAAGATCGTGTCATTTGTGATAGATGTCATAGGAAACAGCATACCTGCAAGGATCTCTGGAATAGTTTCCACTTTACACATGCCTTTGTTGTTGCTTGGTCCCAACTGTTTTTGATAAGTCAAATGAGCTAACTCTTATTGTTTTGCCATCACTTGCTTGGGCCAGTGGGGGGAAAAAGGCAGGAGGCAGTCAAGACTTTTGAGAGCATGCAGGGCAAGTAGGTGGTAGAAACAATTCCCAAGCAGTGCTGACCAACATGTCTTAAGCATGATGAGAAACCAATATACAGTGGTGCCTCGCATAGCGAGGTTAATCCGTTCCGGATTAACCATCGCTATGGGAAACATCGCTCAACGGAACAAAAAAACCCCATTAAAACACATTAAACTTGGTTTAATGCGTTCCAATGGGCCCTAAACTTACCGCTGAGCAAAGCTTCTCCATAGGGGCGGCCATTTCCGGAAAAGTTGCAGCAGCCATTTTGGAACCACCGATCAGCTGTTCTCCCCCGCTTCGTTGTGCAAAAATCGCTAAGCGAATCGCTTAGCGATCGTCGCACAGCGAAAAAACGCAATAGGGGCCATCGCTGAGCGAACGCTCCAGCGATGGCCTGGACCCCCTCGCTATGCGAATTAATCGCTCAATGGAGCGATCGCTAAGCGAGGCACCACTGTATTGTTATTTTCCTAGTGGCTTGAACAAACAGAAAATGCAGTGTATACATGGGTGTATGAGGGGAGGTGAAATCAGCCCGAACGTCAGCTCCCATGCAGGAAGGGTCACCTACAGTGACAAATCTGAAACTGTCAGTTCCTTTGACTTTGAGAGAGCGCAACTCCTTCCCTCTTGTAATCAAGGTGATCAGTAGTAGAAGCAGCTCAACTTCCTGTTCCTCACTGAGAGGGTTTTGATCATTCCAAAGCTCTTGAGCTTGAGAGTGCCTTCTTGAGCCCACTGTTTTCTCCTGTGTCCCCAGGCAGCTGCACAGCAGCAGGAGTCAGCCAGTACTCAGAAGGCAGAAAAAGAAGTTACTCGCATGGTAATCTTGATGGTCCTGGGATTTCTCCTTGCCTGGACTCCTTACGCTGTTGTGGCATTCTGGATCTTCACCAACAAAGGGGCTGATTTTTCTGCTACACTCATGTCAGTGCCTGCTTTCTTCTCAAAGAGTTCGTCCCTCTATAATCCCATTATCTACGTCCTCATGAACAAGCAGGTGAGCTTCCTTCTCATGTAGGCAAAGAAAAAGCCCTGTGGGCTACTACTGGTGGTCTGAATGAGCCCAACTGCCAATATCTCTCAAATTAAACTTGGCACATTCCTTTCTTCACCTTAGCAGTACGGTTCTAGAAGATACCTCAATACTGATTTGCAGCTTTCAGCTAATACTGTTTTGAATGTCAATGGAGCTCTACTGATAAATCTCATTGTCTGGCCAAGGCCATCTTTGCTAACCAAATCCAATGCCTAGATTTGAGAGCCTACCCTTATCTGCTATTTAGAGTCACTGGGAACATACTAATGAGTAGGGATGTAGACTGTCTTTGGATAGAGGTGCAAATATAACCAAGTTTGCAGTATTTGTGTATTTCCATGTTGTTGTTGTTATATGCTGTGAAGTCAGAACCAATTTATAGCAACCCTAACAAGTTTTTCAAGGTAAGTGAGATATTTAAGGAGTGGCGTAACCTGTTCCACTCCCCCAGTCAGTTTCCATGGCTGAGTGGGGATGCGAACCCTGTTCTCCAGAGTTCTAGTCAGTCACTCTGTCCACTACACCACACTGGGAACCTCAGGGTGATTATAGGGTGGAGCAAAGAGCCCAGAGGCACTAATGGGGTAGAGTGTCATTCTCTATAGATCTCTTGTGTTAAACTGGGAATTCAAGCATTCCAATCAGGAGAGAGAGAGAGAGAGAGAGGAAAGAAAGAAGGAAAGAAAGAAAGAAAGAAAGAAAGAAAGAAAGAAAGAAAGAAAGAAAGAAAGAAAGAAAGAAAGAAAGAAAGAAAGAAAGAAAGAAAGATGCAGAAATGCCATCAATGGAGGAGGACAGCATGCTCTTTATCTTAGAAATTAACTTTTCTGGCCTTTCCCCCTGCTGAATCATGGATTAAATCAACAAAATGTTTTGGCTGCAGTACCATAATATCCTGATTCAGGAAAAAGGAAGGATGAGGGGAGAGAAAAAGGATGGAAGCAGAGTATACAAGTACAGGCTTCTTGCATTGCCCTTTTGAATAAATAATTAAAGAAGACCATCCCCACTGCCCTTTTAAAGCCCCTCCCTCACTCTTCTTCCCCCTGGCCAGTTCAGGAAGCTAATAGGGTTTTTTCTCCTGCTGGCCAAAAAAAGAGAGAGAAGAGTGAAAATAAGAATAATACAGAATATCCAACTCTGAAGACCACTGCTGGAAAAAAGGTCCTCTGTCCTCCCTCCACCATTCAATCAGTGGCCTGACCTAGCCAGCCACATTTCCCCATCTGCAGGATTAAAAGTTTTCACAGAGAACTGGAGACACAAGTTATGGATGCAGGCAAGGATTAAGTCAGAGAGTCTCCGAAAAGGTACAAGGTGTGTCGGGCAACAATCTGTGTGGCCTCAGTGGGGTACACACTGGGTACATCCCTACTAGCCATCAGTTGCTGCTGCTGGAAAAAAGGTCCTCTGTCCTGCCTCCATCATTGAATCAGTGGCCTGACCTAGCCAGCTGCATTTCCCCATCTGCAAGATTAAGAGTTTTTGCAGAGAACTGGAAACACAAGTTATGGATGCAGGCAAGGATTAAGTCAGAGAGTCTCCGAAAAGGTACAAGGTGTGTCGGGCAACAATCTGTGTGGCCTCAGTGGGGTACACACTGGGTACATCCCTACTAGCCATCAGTTGCTCTTAAATTTTTGAGATGAAGTTTAATGCACTTATTGTTGATAACCCAGTGAGGCAAGTAGGTTCTAGAGACCCACAGTTTTGTACTGGAGTGAAAAGCTGAGCTTCTGTGGTAGAATTCACAACAGAGTCAGAGAGTCTCCGAAAAGGTACAAGGTGTGTCAGGCAACAATCTGTATCCCCTTACTGGGGTACATACCAGGTAGTAGGGCAAAGTACATCCTTACTAGCCATCAGTTGCTCTTAAATTTTTGAGATGAAGTTTAATGCACTTATTGTTGATAACCCAGTGAGGCAAGTAGATTCTAGAGACCCACAGTTTTGTACTGGAGTGAAAAGCTGAGCTTCTGTGGTAGAATTCACAACAGTTGTGCCAGGTAATCTTTGTTTTTTCCCTTCGTCTTTCTTCCCAGTTCCGTAATTGCATGATCACCACTATCTGCTGTGGCAAGAACCCCTTTGGTGATGATGATGTCTCGTCAACGGTGTCCCAAAGCAAGACAGAGGTATCCTCTGTCTCTTCCAGCCAAGTGTCACCTGCATAGGCTATGGACAGTTTGACCTTCAGTGACCTACCACATGTTGGGATCAGGAAATGGAAAAATGTGCTCATCCACCTGGCTTCTGGGTCCACAAGCTTCTCTCATGAAATTGTTCCCTTATGCACAAATGCTGCACACCACAGACAGAGAGGAGTGCACAGTTAGCATTTTCCTTTACAGATTTCTAGTTCTACAAAAGCTGTATGTAAGCTCCTTCTACTATAGTTGTGCACATTCTGTAAGCATTTGTGCAACCATTCCTTAGGGTAAATATCTACCCAACACATGTGTTCAACTCACATTTGTGGATATGTACATGCTTCCTACCATGAATATATGAAATGTCTGCTCATCATAAATACTCTAGTACAAGGGCCCTGCAAATTCATTCAAATCTTGGATACTTGTGTCAGGAAACCCTCACCTGCCCATCTCTACACATATAGAAAAGAAATAAAGTGTTCTTTAGGTCACTGGATGCTAGTGATTGTTGGCAGAAGGAAAACTTGTTAGGTTGAGGCTGAGATCAAACTCTGTGCAATGGCATGCATGACAGCACAAAGATTTTCCTTAAGGGGTGTTTAGCACAGATGGAAGCTTGGCATGCAACTCAGGTCTGCCTTCACAGAACTGCTGCAGTATGTTTGCTGGTTTTACACGTACCTGTCTCCAATTGAATCAATGACATAGGCATGAGGTCAAAATGAGAGAGGATGTCTGCACCCAAATTAGGAACTCCTGGTCCCCAGTCTTACACAGTGCAACACACAATTCACCTCCATTGAATGGGCAATATGAGATCAGTTTTCAGTGCTGAAGATCAGGGCCATCTGTACTGAGAAAGTTGTCTGGGGGAGAAGTGCAAGCAGTGATCTAAAACATGGCTATGGATAAGAATGAGATTAAAACCCAATTTACATCACATAAGTTTGTTTCTGCACAAGAAGGGGTATATGTGCAGAAATATGAACATAGTAATGTCTAGTGAATAAAAGTATTATTTCCTTCAAGGCTGACTTCTAGCCAAAGCACAATGTGTCTTTCTCAAGAATATATCACTAACATGTACCACCTGATTTGCTTTCCAGCCCTCGTTCTGCACATCCTGAGATGTCTATCTCAAAATAGTCTGGAAAGAGGCATTCTAGTTCACAGTGAAATGACACAAGAGGAATTTTGAATGACATCTTTTCTGTTTCTCTGTCTTACTGTGGAACCAGAATAGCACAAGGGAAAGCAAAAAGATTAGAGCAGGAAGCTCTCCCTGCCTTTCACCAGGTATTAAAGCTGAGGAACAGTTTGATTTGCTTTCTCTGTGCTTTGAGCATAGTGATCAGAGCAACCATCCTTGCTGTCCTTTAAGGCCTCACACATTTTCAAAAAAACTAACAATCCTCCTCTCTCTTTGTGTGTGTGTCCATAAATAAAATATAGGTCGAATTATGTCCTTGTCCTTGTTATCATCAGAGCAACCATCCTTGCTGTCCTTCTAAGGCCTCACACATTTTCCAACAAACTAACAATCCTTCTCTCTCTCTCTCTCTCTCTGTGTCCATAAATAAAGTATAGGTCGAATTATGTCCTTGTCCTTGTTACAGGGATGATGGTGGTGGTGGTTTATCTAAGCAGAATCTCCTCTGTTCTCAAACTATAAACAAAGTTTTAATGGAACTCAAAAGGGCAGGACTTACATTACCATGAGTAGTACTTATTCCTGAACTTTGCCCTTTCTTACTAGCCTTGCCTAAGTCATCTTTACTTGGTGCTTAGAGATACTGTGTTATTCAAGCCACTGTGACTCATTAATCCTATCAGAAGGCAACTCTTCTCCACAGCCAGAAGTCCTGTTGCTTGGAGGAGTGATTTCGCTAGATTTGGTCCATTGAATCAGTGAGGATTCAGAGATTCATTGAATTGATTTAAATGGGTCCAAGCTAGTTGGAACTTACTTTAATGTAGTATGTTGCCACCAGATTAGGTTTATTTGAATCAATGGAACTCTATGAGTTGACTCACCATAATAATCCTGGAACTACAGAGTTGGAGGGGACTTTATTACCACTGATTCAGTGGGCCTTCTAAAGTGTAACTCATTATGCTGTGGAACAGGATTTCAGCCACTCTGTTGTTTCTAGAGGTGAGAGGACAAAAATGGCACTTCATATTTGTGTTCTCACTAGCAGTGGCAGCAGGGAGGGTAGTGCAGAGTTCATTCCCGTCCATTTTGTTTGTTTGTTTGCTTGTTTTGTATTCCAAACCCTCTTGGAGAAAAAAAGTTGCATACAAATTATGAAAACCCTGAAGAATCCAGTCTATTTTGTTTGTTTGTTTGCTTGTTTTGTATTCCAAACCCTCTTGGAGAAAAAAAGTTGCATACAAATTATGAAAACCCTGAAGAATCCAGTCTATTTTGTTTGTTTGTTTGCTTGTTTTGTATTCCAAACCCTCTTGGAGAAAAAAAGTTGCATACAAATTATGAAAACCCTGAAGAATCCAGTCTATTTTGTTTGTTTGTTTGCTTGTTTTGTATTCCAAACCCTCTTGGAGAAAAAAAGTTGCATACAAATTATGAAAACCCTGAAGAATCCAGTCTATTTTGTTTGTTTGTTTGCTTGTTTTGTATTCCAAACCCTCTTGGAGAAAAAAAGTTGCATACAAATTATGAAAACCCTGAAGAATCCAGTCTATTTTGTTTGTTTGTTTGCTTGTTTTGTATTCCAAACCCTCTTGGAGAAAAAAAGTTGCATACAAATTATGAAAACCCTGAAGAATCCAGTCTATTTTGTTTGTTTGTTTGCTTGTTTTGTATTCCAAACCCTCTTGGAGAAAAAAAGGTTGCATACAAATTATGAAAACCTTGAAGAATGATTGGATTGGATGTTTTTATCTATCTTTCTGGAGTGTAGTCTCTGTGTTTCTGTATTTACACAAGATTTAGGGGCTATTTTGAAGGCACCCTTTTGTGTCGCTAAAACATAGAACAATGAATCTATGCCCCAAACTATTCTTGTCTCTCTTGCTTAAGCACCAGTGAATGCAGAGTCATCTGAGTTGTACATTCTTGCTAAGTGGATGGATCACAGAAATCAATGTACATATCCCTTATAAATCATTATAATAAATGGAACTGCAAGGAGTTCTGAGTCTTGCACAGGCCTCCATATTTTTAAAAAATGGCACTAGAGATAACTTTTTGTCTCAGAACTTGTAAATATTTTCAGACTTTGAAATCTTTATGTTTTTCAACAGCAAGCTCCTTATCCTGCCTACCCTACCCGAAGGCAGAGGAAGCATCTCCTTGCTGTGGCTTTTGGCTTATGAGCCCAACAGACTGTAAAGGGGGGGGGGATGGCTGCTGTGGCCATGTACATATTTTATAAATAACTTATCAGTATGATGACTTTGTAAAATTGAAGAGTAGAGTTTGGAAAAAGAATAAACCTCAGCACAAAGGAGGAAAGCCGTTTTGCCTCTTTCATACAGGCACAAAAAGGAAAAAGAATATTTTTAGTAGAGGAGGTGGCTCTCCAGAATCTATGAGGACATTTTTTTTAAAAAACAGTCTATCTTTTTGTATCTTTTATAGAGTAAATGATTTGAGCAGGTATATGCTGTCTACATTTGACTCCCAGTTGTGGTCAGCCTGTGTTAAAGATACAGGTTTGATCAGCTATTACTAGAATAATCTAACAAAGACCTCTCTTCTTTCTCTCTCTCTCTTCCTCATGCTTGCACAAAGACACACTCAATCTCTCACACAGTTCCTTTTCAATGCGCCAGAGATGGAAAAGTTATGAGAAAATGATTCACAGTTTTGTTATGTGTTCATGACCTCAAAATTGAATTCAAGTTAAGGTTGGTGGGGGCAATTTTTGAACAGGTAAAGTGATGTTAAATTGTCAGTTAAGCTGGATTTCTCGCACCTTGTTAGAAGAAAAAGAAAAACATCCTATCTCAGAAAATGGGGTTTTGGCTTGTGTGGAGAGGCTACAGGGATACAACAGCCTTCCTCTTTTCATACGGCCTGCTTTCACGTGCTGTGTACACCTCTCAGGGTTCATGGCCTCCATATACCTCTACTCAATGACTGAATTGGGCAACATTTTAGATGCAGTGGGTCTTGATTATGCGTAGATACAAGTGGAGTAGAACCACCCAGAGTAGACTTCAGTCTAGATGGGCAGGGTATAAATCTAATAAGTAAATAAATAAGATATATGTAAGATTATGGACATTGTAGAAGTGAAAATATAGTCCACGTTTCTTAAAGCCTTAATTTCTGCAACACGGGGGGGGGGGAGCAGATTTGGTTTACAAGTAGAACAATTCCTTTCTAGGACTGTTTGATGCCTCTCAAGGTGAAAAACCAACAACTCTTCGTCACAAGTGCATACACACAATTTGTCTGACCTGCATGTGTCTCTCTCACACATGCATACATTACTACTCGATTAGGAAAGAAAGAAAAAAACCTTTAGGAAGATCAAGCCACTTTGAAGTCCACACCTTCTGACAGATAATTACAAATCCCAGATACCTGAGTGTCATCAGTCTGTACATACTCAGGGGCTGTTTCACTCATTCCAGAACTGATTCAAAGAACTGCATAATGAGCTAAAATTCATCCTCACTACAAAACCTCATTTTGAGGTGAAATTCTCAAGCAAAACCTCTTAGTTTAAAATTGGTGACGATTAAATGCTTAATGGAAATCCTAAAATATTATATTGAAAAATGCAATGCAAATGAAGTCTGCTTCATTTAAAAATTAAATTAACTGCATTTTGGCCTAGTTTGTGGATTTTGTAATAGTTACCACTAATACCATTAAATTTAACACATTACTGCTGTGCTCTGATAAAGACTTAAGCAATAATGAACAGACTAGCAAAAGCCATGATTCGACTGCTTTCATTACAATCTTGGATTGTAGCAGGCACTGCGGAATAGCTAGATAGAGTGAGACCTTAATAGATCCAGTCTGTATAGGTATCAAAGCACAT